CCCCAAAACCCCAAAACCCCAAAACCCCAGAGAATTAGAATAGAATTGATTTACGAAAATTCAAATTTAAATAATAAAAGTAAAATGCCAAGAGAAATTATTACACTCCAAGTGGGTCAATGTGGAAATCAAAGTAAAACTATTTATCTTCTTATTTTACCAAATTTATAGTCGGAGATGAGTTCTGGAAGCAATTATGTCACGAGCACGGTATTAATCCAGAGGGAATATTGGAAGAATATGCAAGAGATGGCGATGACAGAAAAGATGTGTTTTTCTACTAAGCTGATGATGAGCATTATATCCCGCGTTCCCTTTTGATTGATCTTGAGCCAAGAGTCATTAACAGTATTCAAAACGGGCTCTACAGCAATTTATATAACCCTGAAAACTTCTACATCTCTAAGCATGGTGGTGGAGCTGGAAACAATTGGGCTAGAGGTAAGTATTTATCATGCTTCCAGAAAGTAATAATTTGAATTTAGGTTATTGCGAGGGAGAAAAATGCTAAGACGAAATTTTAGAAATGATAGATAGAGAGGCTGACGGCTCAGATTCTCTAGAAGGCTTTATTTTGACTCATTCAACTGCTGGTGGTACAGGATCAGGACTTGGTTCATATTTGCTTGAGAGGTTGAATGATAGATATCCCAAAAAGCTAATCCAAACCTACTCAGTATTCCCAAGCAATGACATTGATATTGTCGTCTCCCCTTATAATTGCTTGTTGACACTAAAGAGATTAGTTTTAAATGCAGATGCAAGTGTCATTATTGATAACAATGCTCTTTAAAGAATAGCCACTGATCGTTTGAAACTTTAAAATCCAACAATAGCACAAATCAACTCAATTGTCTCAACCATTATGTCTGCCTCAACCACTACTCTTAGATACCCTGGATATATGAATAATGATCTAATGGGACTTGTTGCTAGTTTAATTCCAACTCCAAGATGCCATTTCTTAATGACAGGCTACACACCATTAACAGTTGATAAGAAAGCAACTAGTATCAGAAAAACTACAGTCCTTGATGTTATGAGGAGACTCTTGCAAACAAAGAATATCCTTGTTTCAAGTTCAGTTAAAAAAGGAAAGTACATTTCAATCCTGAATATCATTCAAGGTGATGTCGATCCAACTCAAGTGCATAAATCCCTTTAAAGAATTCGTGAGCGTAAACTAGCTAACTTCATCCCTTGGGGGCCTGCTTCAATTTAGGTTGCTCTGTCGAAGAAGTCACCATATGTTGAAACTCCACATAAAGTTAGTGGCATGATGCTTGCTAATCATACCTCCATCCGTAACTTATTTAAAGTTATTCTTGAGCAATATAAGAAATTCAGAAAGAGAGGTGCTCAACTTCATCATTATAAAGAGACTAAAATTTTCCAAGATTCTTATGAAGAGTTTGATTAATCTGAAGAGACGGTGATTAGATTAATTGAAGAATATGAAGCTGCAGAGAATGAAGATTATATCAACTGGGGAGCTACTGAAGATATGAAAAACGGAGGCGATGGCATGGATTATTAATGATAATAGGGTAATAAAGAGTATTAATTGAGTATTTTGTTTAATAATAGTAATTAACTTTTAATCAACCTTGTTGGAAATATATCTACTTCAAGAAGTAATAATAGTGAATGCTATTTACATATATTGTTGTTTCTCAATTCCTCAATTATTTCTTATGATTTGCTTAATCAGCTTTTCACTTTGGATCTTTTACTTTAGACTACCATTTGCATTGATCTTTCCTTTGCTAAATTACTTTATTAAGCCCTTGAATTGTTTCTAGCTAGTATTCTCAGATATTAATCCACTACCTCCGTATGGCATATATGTTTAATTTCTTATGGATCTTTTAATTGGTTAAGTATTTGATAGATCTTATTTCTTTATAGACATATTGCTTCCACTTAAATTTGATTAACTAAAATCACTAACAAGCTTAACTAATTTTTCATCAGACTAAGTATTCTAGGTGGTCTATTCCTAAGTAGAATTAGAAAATTTGTTTTAACTTTCACTTTAAGAAATAGGGAAGCTATTCTTATATTAATTGACTTGGTTCATCAATGAAAAATTATTGTCTATAGCCTAATCACTCTGATTAACTTTTATCTTCTTTTAATTTCTCATTGTGAATAGTTTAGAAGGAGATTCCTTTAATTATCCTATAGATTTAATAGAGCTGTACTTCTTTAAAAGCATTGGAGATTTTTATCTATATTTTTCACAGAACTTTTTTATTTTCTTCAATTAACTAGAAGCATACTTATGCTAGCTTTTATAATGTTCATTGTTTTGCTCTTTTAATTATCTGAATTCAGAAACAATAAGAATAAGAAACTAAAGTTTTTTATGAATTAGCTACTTAATAGGATAACCTCCTAGATTTTTATCTAAATCAGAGTTTAATTTGATACTGATTGAGGCCTTAACAAGATCAGCTAGTGTTAATTGAGGACGATGATCATTACTTTTGTCCAATAACTAAATGAAATCCATAATAGCTTAGTCAGTTAAATAGTCAACTTCATAATAAACATTCATGTCTATTTAAAGCTTATTTTGACTGTGTATTTTCAAAAGCATCTCTCGCTTTAATTCCAAATCAAAAATAGCGTCTATAAGCACTTTAGCTCTCATATATTCGTTGCTATTATACTAGAATTCTTAGGAGTAAAAATCTGAAATTGGTTGAATTTGATTTTATGCTTTATATCCATTGAACATGTTTTGGATTTATTCAGCAGTCTGTGGAGAGATTATCTGAGAGCTCATATCTTGAGGTTTTATTGGACTTCTTGCATCAATTAGCTCATCAAATTTATAAGCTGGTGTATTATTTGAATTCTGTTCAGAGGGACTTATTTACAGTATTTTTAATTATTCCTCTTATCCTAATCTCAGGCCACTAAAAGTATAAAACCCTGGACTTATCTACCCTATGCTGTTTCCCCTACTATGCTTGAAGGCAAAGTTCACATCCTTTTCTTCGGAATTATAATCATTTATCATTTGAAAAGGGTCAGTCTTACCCTTTAGCTAAGAGAATATATATTTAAGGTTGTCAAACTTTTAATCTTCTTTTTATCTAATCTTTTCATCATCACTATTAGTTACTAATTCCTCTAAGCTCTCATCATGATTCTCACCTTCTTATTCAGTTGCTTGTCTCTAGGATTCTTTGAGGTCTTTAAAATACTAACTGAGATCAGTTTAGACTTCATTAAATGAGATTTTCTAGATTGAACTTTCATCTTTTTTAAAATGATCATTGCTTTATTATAACTTCATCTTTTCAGCAAAATTCATTCCAACCATTATATTTTTTCTATTATTACTATTTTCTCTATGTCTAGGAGAGTTATTATCAACATCAGCTGCATCATTATATGCATTTCTAGCATCTTTCTCCTCGTAATGATAGCTAACAATATCGCATGAATCTTACTATAGCAAATTCGAGGCATTAATTCGTTCATTAAAAGGTTAGTAAGATTAAATTTTTCCATAAATAACATTCAATGATTATTACTTTTCACTAGAATATTATTCTGTTCTCTCAGTAATACCGAATAGCTGTTGCTGCTTACTTTTATTTCTGCCTTTACTGCGTTGGTGAATCTTCAATTACTCTTTGATTAGTGATTAAGAGTTCATATTATCTTAAATTGGGCTTTGTTCGGTTTATTGTTACTCCTCAGATTCTAATTTGAAATTCACTATACTCGAGTCATTATTAGGATTAATTGAAGGCGTCTCAATTTTTTTATTTTTTCCAGAGTCAAAATTACTATGCATTTCCTCCTAAACTTCATAGTCTTATCCAAAGTTGTAATTAAAAGTATTAAACTGATTATGATCACGAGATGTATTGTTAATTTTATTGATAAAATCGTAGTTGTCCATTTAAAAGCTAAAGTAGCCATTTTCTTAACCATTAATTTCAAATTCATTTTATCCGCTAATTTTTTAATAAAGATCAACACCTTCCTCATTATTTAAAAATTATTTTTCTGAGATAGTAGGTGTAAGTTAATTATCTGAAGCTCAAGGCTGCAAAGCTTAACGACTGTTAAATCTATTTTCAAAGAAACCTCTATTTATGGATATAATATCTGACTATCCTTCAATATAGGTGTTTAGTTCTTTGCTTGATTAAGTTCCATTCAAGGATTTTGAAGAACAACAGTAAGTATACATTTTATTTATATTTTTTATTTATAAACCGTATTAATTCTTAATTCCGATAATATTTTGAGTACTTAATTTCTCGGGGTTTTGGGGTTTTGGGGTTTTGGGG